ACAGCTGTGGATCATTCAGCTAACAACACAGTATTAAGAATCACAACTTTTGAACGGGGTCATTTTTATAAATTCAGCTATTATTTTCTCTTGTGGACTATATGTAAACATCTTTTATGTGGAATATCTTATTCAGGTCAGTACTAAATAAACAATAGCATGCATTTTGTATGATCCCTCTTATTTTGGTAAAATAATGAACATTTTGCAGAATCTGAAAGGGGGATGTAAACTTTTGACCTCAACTGTAAAACTCCAAAAAATTAAGCTTTACTAAAATGATTATACTGTCAATGTAATTAGTAATAAAAAATATTGTACTAAATTCTAAAAATAAAACCCAAAGCACTTTCACTGGTGATCTCAGACTTTTGGACCCCATTATGCGTTCTAGTGTACCTCGCGTGCCAAATACAAGCCACTATGTGCGTCAGTTTGTGGTACTCTGAGGATGCAAGTATAGCAGAGGTGTATGAGTATCACTGTGAACGGGTTCATTGTGTGTGTCATTCATGGGCAGTATTGCAGGGATGAACGTTTCTTAGTTCAGAATATATTCCCCACGGTGTCTTTCCTCAAGGATTAGATGAATGTGCAATAGTTTATTCTTTTACGGCATTCTGCTCTCCGGTACAGATTTCAAAAGAGCCCTCCTCTCCCAGCAAGTCATATTTTTATATTATGATGTAAAGTTGTAGTTAAAGAGTATTGTACAAAGAGACAGGACGCTAGGCTGGATCGGTGTGTCTTCTAAACTGGCCAGACAGTTCATTTATTACCAGTGTCAGGGACCTTCTCTGTCGGTAAGCAGAAATACGTTTGATTTCGACTTTCAGATGTTGAAATGGTTTATGAAGGCATGACATTGTGGCCAATCTCTGTGGTTTGATGCAGGATTTTGCTAAAATTTGATATTTTTGAATTATCCTTAGATATGGAATAAAATGGCACTTTGAATGATCTGTTACCAAATGCTGTCTGAGTTTGATTATTTTAAATGTTTCAATTTCAAAAATGTTTTTGAATTTATTCAACGTAATGGTTCACCAAATTCCATAGCTACTCCGATTATTGCTACTACATTAAAAGTTTGGTAATGTGCTATTACAACACTAATCAACAAAATAATTAAAGCAACATAAAGTTCTGCTGTTTCGAGGACAACTGATATTTATGATTGTTTGAGAATGATTATTGCTACTACATTAAAAGTTTGGTAATGTGCTATTACAACACTGTAATCAACAAAATAATTAAAGCAACATAAAGTTCTGCTGTTTCGAGGACAACTGATATTTATGATTGTTTGAGAACAGTTAACAGTTGACAGCTGTTTGGGCAAATAGTTCATTAACAATGTTTGCATTACTCCCTTGATATAGTTGTTAAAACCAGCCTAAGATGGTTTGCTGGTCTGGTTTTAGAGGAGTTTTAGGCCCTTGTTCTGGGACACCAGCAAACCAACTTTTTCAACAGAATCATAAATGAAGAAGCTTTTAAAGTCCTGGTTTTTGCTCTCCTGTCCCCAGAAACATCCACATTTTACAGTATGTTCACGACACCTCGCGAACACTGTAAAATACAGACCAACATAGCCTACAAAAGAACAAAAAAAAAAATTTAATAATAGGGTAACACTTTATTTTAAGGACCAGTTCTCACTATTAACTAGCATGCATATTATTAGCATATTGACTGTTTATTAAAGCACATATTAATGCCTTATTCTGCATGACCATATTTTCGATCTCTTAATCCTACACCATACCCAAACTTAACAACTACCTTACTAACTATTAATAAGCAGCAAATTAGGAGTTTATTGAGGCAAAAGTCGTAGTTAATATAGTGAGAATTAGACCTTAAAGTGTGACCAATATTTGTAAGTACTTTACACAGTGTATTCAGTTTCTGAAAATATAAAATATTAAATACAATTAGAAAATGTTTAAAACATGGTTGGTTTAAGTCATCCTTTATTTCTATAGCGCTTTATACAACACCAATTGTGTCAAAGCAGCTTCACAGTGATAAACAGGAAAATAATTGAATCAGTTAAGGAAACTAAAACTTTTTTTTTTTTTCCATATTGTGATTTTTGGTGAATTGTCAAACTGACCATAACACCATATAAAAGTATATGGAACTCAAAAAACTGGGAAGAGTCTCTGGTTTCCAATTAATAAATCTGGTCATTAAAATCCCTTCTCCTCTTCTTCTTCTTCTTCTTCTTATATTTTTACGGCGGTTGGCATATTCATTATATTTTTCCAGTACCCAATTCTTAAACACTCTTTCCAAATTAATATCCTCCTTTGCCTTCCTTTTTTCCTCTAGCACAAACCAGTCTACCTCAGGCCAGAATAGCTTCCACGGAGCAATCTCTGGATAGACTACCGTAGAACATCCCTTCTCCTCAGGGCAAAGGTCATGCCAGGTATAGCACACCTATACCACTTACAAAAACATACCAAAATTACCATGGTATTACTATAGCTTTGTAGACACAACTTAATTATTTTATATTTTTGACGATGTGCTATAAATATTGGTAGGCCTATTTACCATGTAAATACAGTCATACCAGCATTATCGGTAACGGTATTATTGGATACAAAACTTTTCTGTAAGTCAACTGGATAAGTACCATGTCCCTGAGAAGAAAAAAACAGCTAAAACCAAATGGTATGACCAGCCTAGACCAGGCTGGATGACCAGCTAAAACCAGCCAACCAGCTTAGGCTGGTTTTAGCTGTTTTAGGTATTAACAAGCTTGTTGTAATACCACTTCATGGCGTTACTCATTCAGAAAGTATTAAAGTATCACTGTATTGCTATCTGACAGCATCAGTACTTTCTGTTACAGACTGTACAAGAAAGACTTGAAGCCAGCACTTTTCTTGAGTGTGGTTTTATGATTCTAGCGAGTTCAAGGTTGTTGCGGCGCTTCCGGTGACGTCATCGCGCACCGACCGACGTCCGTAATGGACCTGCAGCTGTTCTCTGACAAACAATAACAAGAGCGAACGGCGGCGGCGGCGGTTTCCGTGTCTGTAATCGTGCTGATATCGAGCCTGTGAGGCGTCTCGACTCTGACATCGCCGGCGAGGAAACTCTGGCCTCCGCTGCCTCCTCCTCCGACTCGGAAACCGGCGGAGCTTCGCCGCCCCCGCGGAAGAAAAGCCGAGGCTCGGCGGCGGAGGGAGCAGGAGAGAGCGGGGCGTCTGCTGCCGGGATCACGGGCCTCTCTGCGGCGTCTCTCCCAACCCCCCACCAGCGCTCGGCCATCCGTCTCAATAACAGCTCGCAGTCGCGCAGATCCGCCGCTGTAAACGCCTTTTATAACATGCAGGCCAACGGGACCGGAGGACAGGAGCCGGAGCCGGAGTCGCAGCTGTCCTGCAGGAACGGAGAGTCCTCGTCCTCCGCCGCGGGAGCTGTGCACTCCAACGGGCTGCTGTCCTCCGCGAATAACGGACTGCCGTCCACCGAGAGCCCGGCGTCTGACACCAGCACGAAGAAGAAGAAACGACTGTCCCAGAGCGACGAGGACGTGATCCGGCTCATAGGGCAACATCTCCACGGGCTAGGACTCAAGTAAGTGACTATCATCGGGTTGTTATTGTATTGGTCAGACGACATGAAGCCATGATGCTGTCAGTGCGGCTCTCCTGATCGTGTCAGTGGCGTGTTTGTGTTTTCACCATGCTGTCAGTTGTGTTTTTGTTATGTGTCACTGATGTTTTAATGTTTTGAAGATCGTGGCACTGGTGTTTTTGTCTTTTAACGAATGGTTCTTGTAACGTGTCAGTGCTGTTATTGTTTTCACAACAGTGTCAGTGGTGTTTGTGTTGCCATGATGGTGTGAGTAGTGCTTTTCTACCAAGTCAGTGGTGTTATTGTTTTTTAATGTGTTTTTCAGTGTCAGCAGTGTTTCGTCAGTAGTGATTGTAATATTACTATTTTGTAACATGTCAGTGGATTTTTTTTTTTAGATTAGTGGTGTTTTTGTCTTTTCAGATGGTGTCAGTAGTGTTCATGTAACGTGTCTGTGCTCTTGTTGTTTTCACAACAGTGGCAGTGGTGTTGTTGTGCTTTCGTGATGGTGTCAGTAATGTTCTTGTAATATGTCAGTGCTTTTCACAACAGTGGCAGTGGTGTTGTTGTGCTTTTCGTGATGGTGTCAGTGGATTTTTTTTTAGATTAGTGGTGTTGTTGTGCTTTCGTGATGGTGTCAGTAATGTTCTTGTAATATGTCAGTGCTTTTCACAACAGTGGCAGTGGTGTTGTTGTGCTTTCGTGATGGTGTCAGTAATGTTCTTGTAATATGTCAGTGCTTTTCACAACAGTGGCAGTGGTGTTGTTGTGCTTTCGTGATGGTGTCAGTGGATTTTTTTAGATTTCAGTGCTGTTATTGTATATTAATGATCGTGTCAGTGGTGTTATTGTGTTGTCATGATGGTGTCAGTAGTGTTTTTGTAATATGCTGTTTGTGTCAGTAGGGTTTTTTCATGCTGTTTGATGGTGTCAGTTGATTATTTTAAAGTTTTTAGTGTTTTTTGCTTTCATGAAGATGTCAGCAGTGTTTTTGTCACATGTCAGTGGTGTTACTATTTTCATAACCGTGTCAGTGGTGTTATTGTGCTTTCACGATGCTGCCAGTGGTGTGTTTGTGTTGTCATGACAGTGTCAGTGGTGTTTTCTGCTTTAATAATAATGTAATAATAGTGACTTAAGATGTTGCAGTGGTATTTTTGTATTTTCATGCTGTTTCTCTAAATTACCAGACACTCTATAATATAATATTGTTTTAGCCAATACAGTATAATTTAATGTTGCTACAGAACTCAAAGAGCCAGGACTGGACAGAGTACACAAGTCCTGTAAGACCTTTAAATAACAAAAAGAACAACAAAAAACAAGAACTGTTTTTTAATAAAATCTGAATTTGAAAAGTTAAAAAAAGCACATATGTGTATATACATATCTAGTTTATTAGTTTACTAGTTAAGTTGTTATTGTTGATAAGGGAAAAGCAAGGTAAAATAGCTTTATTGCAGTATGTCTTGCCCAGCATAAACCATCCTGTTCTCTTTTGGTGTAGAAAAGCAGGTGAATTGGTGCACCGCACAGTTTATAGTGAGTTGAGTAGGAGTAGTGTTCCTTTCTAGGAAATGACACATTCAGGAGTTTATATGTTAATTATTGTGTTCATGAATCAAACACTGACTTCTTGTTGCTAGGAGATTGGAACTCTGCCTGTCTGTGTCTGTGTGTGTCTGTGTGTGTGTGTGTGTGTGTGTGTGTGAATCAGTTCTGTAATCCTTAGGCTATCTTGTGAAAGGAGTATGAATTCACTTCCCAATACTCATTAACATCTTTCTTTTTGTCATGTTTCAGTCAAACTGTGGACCTGTTGATGCAGGAATCGGGCTGTAGACTTGAGCATCCTGCTGCTACCAAGTTCAGGAATCATGTGATGGAGGGGGAGTGGGAAAAGGTGAGTCTTCATGTGGCCAGTATAGGATATATCTTAACATTGTGGCATGCAGATGAGAGACAACTGCAATGTTTTGTTTACTCTCGGCATGTCAGAATGAAAAGAGTTATTAAAATGCTGTAACATTAATGGCCTCAGATTTTAATACCATGTTACTGAGTGATTGACATATGTTTACCATAGCACTTCCATAGAACTAAAGTAGTTTAAAGAATGGCATGGTATTACTCTGATACAAATCTGAATAACACGCCTGATAGCCATTGTCATGATGACAACCTTTATTTGTCTTGTTTTCTGTGCATATTTTCAGCAAATTTTAATATTTGGGTTAAATACCCCATTAAAACAGTTATACAATAAAGCAGTGGAATCGGAGCTGGAACCAGAATCATTAAACTGCTTATGACTCCCATAAATAGCTAGTAGGATTACACCTTGTGGGTGTTTCTAAACTTTGCACTTTTTGTGTATGTAATGGTCATAAGGGTCACAACAAGCCAAACAAGCAACAGATAAGGGTTTGTCAACTTGTGAAAACTCAGTTAATCTGTCTGTGACGACTGTCCCTTTCTAACAGGCTGAGAGTGACCTCAACGAGCTGAAAGCACTGATGCATTCACCCAGCGCTGTGATGGTAAGAGTCCAAAGTCCTCTGAACATCTCCAGCATCCGGTGCATGAAGGTCCTGACTGATGTTCTCCTGTGTTGTGCAGCGGATGAAGTTCCTGCTCCTGCAGCAGAAGTATCTGGAGTATCTGGAGGACGGGAAGGTTCTAGAAGCGCTGCAGGTGCTCCGAGCCGAACTCACGCCCCTGAAGTACAACACTGAACGCATCCACGTCCTCAGCGGGTATCACACTTCACAACTATTTTGGGGGCATTTGAACAGCCAAGTCATTTCCTCATTTGTTTGAATATCTTAGGTGTCCTGTCATAAGAAAGCAACTTTACTCTGACCTTTGAAAGAAATTCTGCCTGTGTGCAGCCATTCTGTTATGGAGGCCGCAGATAGAGAGAAAAAATTTTCAAAATATAGACATTTTATGCTTTTAAGAACCTTGCAAAGAATTGGGTACTGGTAAAAGTTCTACTGAAAAAATAAATAAATATTTGTTACTTGTTATAGTGTAATAAGTACCGAGTAATATGAATTAACTTAATGTAATTTCTGTATGACTAAGATTAGGGTTTGGTTTAGGGTTAGTTTCTGGTAATTATGCATAATTGTCTGTTATTACCATAAGAAGTTTTAATGTTTTTTTAAAGGGGTCATATGATGCTGCTAAAAAGAACATTATTTTGTGTATTTGGTTTAATGAAATGTGTTTATGCGGTTTAAGGTTAAAAAAACACATTATTTTCCACATACTGTACATTATTGTTTCTCCTCTATGCCCCGCCTTTCTGAAACGCGTCGATTTTTACAAAGCTCATCGGTCTGAAAACATAAGAGTGATCTTCCTTCAACTGGGGAAATTTCCTATCCTACTCGGAAAAACAAGCAATTAGTATAGTTTTGCATTAGCGGTCAAACGTTTGGTGAAATCGCATCATATGACCCCTTTAAAGAAGTCTCTTCTGCTCACCAAGCCTGCATTTATTTGATCCAAAATACAGTCAAATCAGTAATATTGTGAAATATTTTTTACTATTTTAAATAACTGCTTTCTATGTGAATATCTGTTAAAATGTAATTTATTTCTGTGATCAAAGCTGTATTTTCAGCATCATTACTCCAGTCTTCAGTGTCACATGATCTTCAGAAATCATTCTAATATGCTGATTTGCTGCTCAAGAAACATTTATTATTATTATTATTATTACTATTATCAATATTTAAAACTTTGGATCAAATAAATGCAGGCTTCTTTGAAAAACATGAAAAAACTTTTTACTGGCAGTGTACATCATCTTAAAATAAAGTTACTTTTTTTATTTTGCTTGCCAAAAGCAGCAAAGCGCTGTTTCTCATTTCACATGTAAAAAGAGTGTTCAAACAACTTTAAAGCCAACATGAAATCAAACTTAAATCAAAACCAAAGTCCCACTCTACTTCTGTTCTGGTCTGTTTCTCTTGGAAGTAGGTCATGTTATAGCAATAAAATCCGTTGCAAAAGGTGTTGACTTTAAAGGCCCAGCAGCAAAAACGGACCCATTTATTTTTAAGAGTCAAGTAGGTCATGAAAAAGTTAATTTAGACTTGATTTTAGAACAAAAAATTAAAACCATATGAAAACATTTCATTACTTGAAACTAACTTTTAAAGAACTTTTAAAATGATTTTATTTCAGCTAGTTGTCAAAGCAAACCTTTCTCATTTTGATTTAATTTACTAAAATAAATCAAACTAAATAAACGAAAACTTGTATAAACATATAAAAAAAACACACACACACAACAAAATTACTCGCATTTTAAGCAAAACTGAAATAAAAACCCAATTGCGATTTTATATCCCACAGTTCTGACTTCTTTTCTCAGAATTGTGAGATATGAACTCGACAATTGCATTTTTCATAAACGTCACAATTGCGAGACGTAAACTTGCAATCGTGAGACCAAATGTCAGAATTGTGAGATAAACTCACAATTGCTTTTTTCTTTTTTTATTCAGTGGTGGAAACAAGCTTCCATAGAAAACAGAAAATACGTTAAAAAGAAAAATCTAATTCAAAATATAAACAAAAACCATAATAGTATATCAATTATACCAAAATAACACTTTTTCAGTGAGAATAGTAAAAGGATTAATCATGATATGATTAATATGATTTGCAGAATATTAATCCAGATTCAGAATTTAACCTTCTTGTGTCCCATGTGCATTTTTTTTTATATTCTTTTCTTTTTGTCGCCTAATCTAATGAACACTTAAAGTTGAAAGCGACTAGCAAATGAAGCATACAACTTTAATGAGAGTCTAACAGCTCTGTGGCTCCAGCCTTGTTTGATCAGAGTGTGCTGCTGTTCATCATGTTGTCTGCTGTAGGTACCTGATGTGCACTCTTCCCGATGACCTGCGAGCTAAAGCTGAGTGGGAAGGCAAAGGGACGGCCTCACGATCCAAACTCCTCGACAAGCTGCAGAGTGAGCTCACATGAACACATACGACTCCTGTAACTATAACAAATACATTTAGGGGAAATATCAACGGTCAAACAGACTTTTAGAAATATTCTCTGATCAAGCTTGGACACGTGACCATATTGTTTTGTTTTGTTTATTAATGAATGATTATAACTTGATTATTACACAGTGGAAAGAACATCAGCATGATTGCTAACAGGACTGATAATAAAGAGCTGAAGTAGGATGTTGAGGTTAATTTTAGTGTTATTTGAATGGTATATGAATGCTGCTATCATACCGATTTGTGACCCTGGAGCACAAAACCAGTCTTAAGTGTAAATTTGTCAAAATTGAGATTTATGCATCATCTGAAAGCTGAATAAATATGCTTTTCCATTGATGTATGGTTTGTTATGATAGGATATGATATTTGGCTGAGATACAACTATTTGAAAATCTGGAATCTGAGGGTGCAAAAAAAATCGAAATATTGAGAAAATCGCCTTTAAAGTTGTCCAAATGAAGTTCTTAGCAATGCATATTACTAATCAAAAATTACGTTTTGATATATTTACAGTAGGAAATTTACAAAATATCTTCATGGAACATGATCTTTACTTAATGTCCTAATGATTTTTGGCATAAAAGAAAAATCTATAATTTTGACCCATACAATGTATTTTTGGCTATTGCTACAAATATACCCCAGCGACTTAAGACTGCTTTTGTGCTACAGGGTCACATTTATGTAATTTGAGCAAACAGGATATTTTAACAACAAATTCGACAAAACGCCACAAAAATCCACTGCTGAACTTACTGATGTTTGTGCTGTTGATGTCACTTCCTGGAGGATGCTGTCGTTCAGGAACTATTGTTAGTTAAACTGTCAAATGCGGCTTTACGGAGCTCCACGGCTCTGAACGGCTCTAGCCCAAGCCGTGATATAAACGAACGCTATTGGCTATTTTAAAAAGGGGCGGGGCTGCTTGATATGTCCCGCCCTGTCTTCCTGTTTCAGTTAAAATGACGTCAACACATAGAGTAACGCTGCGTGTTTCTAAGCATTTCAGGGGACCTTTAAAGAGATATTATAAAAGACTAACAGTAATGGATGTGAGATTAGGGAGACTGGCCTTTTAAAAATTGCTCGTAAACCTTTTTGTCAAATTGTTTTCTTTCAGTTAGCGCAGGTTTTGTGTTTTGTTTTTGAACTGACATCAGAGGTCATAGGCCTCATTTATCTGAGCAATCTTTGAGTGAAAAGGAATAATTTATGGATAGTTTTGGCAGTGTTCACTCAAACTAAGGTGGATCATTTCAGATCAGTGAGGCCTACAATAAATCAGTTCGAAAAAGAAATACAAAACCTGTGCTAATTGAAAGAAAACAAGTTGATAAATAGTCTAAATCCAATATTTGATAATAAAATAGCATAATGAGAGATTTTCAAGCAATTTTCTTTGTAGGCTGATTATTTTTGAGTAACAAGGTGAAAAAATAGAAGAAAGTACAAACATAAAGTCAGTAGGTTTTAGTGCAATGCGATAACATTAACTAGCATTTTTCGGAAAAAGAAAATCCTCTCTGGGTCAAAACGACTGAAACACAACATGAGGGTTAAACTGTTCACCAGTTCAAATATGTGCATGACAATGTTATTAAATTGTATGAAAATATTGTTATTAAAGATCTTAATAAATGGCCAGTTTTTCATATTAGAAGTTAGTGTAACGTCATGACAAAAACGTCAACATTGACTTAATTATTTAATTGAAACTATTTAAAATTCACCCCAATGTAAAAAAAAAACTAAGACGTTTCTGCGTTTTAATAAAAGCGAGTTTAATATTTATGTATTTATGTATGAGAGGCTGTGCTAGACACAAAAAAGATCTCAAAAAAACAAAACAATCTGCTTATTATTTGACACATGATTGCGACATGAATATGCACTGCTCAGAAATGATTTTCTATCTGAGAATTATTATTATTATTTGTTTAAACATTATTTGTAACTTTTTCCATTCATTCTGTTCACTTCTTCCTCTCTTCATCCCCTCTTTGTACAGTTTCATGTAATTCTTTTTTTCGGCTAGGGTTCGGGTCAGTTCTATTTCAGTTCAGCCAATCCAGGAGATGAATTGAATTGGGGTGGAGGGACCTGCGCAGTCTCAAGTGCAAGATGTGACTTTCACTTGATGTCCTGTGTTGGCTGAATTCAGATGAAACTGAGTCTAACCCTCTCTGCTCCATCTCTGTGTCCGTCTCTCTCTCGTGTCTCTCCCACAGCGTACCTGCCTCCGTCTGTGATGCTGCCGCCCCATCGTCTGCAGACGCTCTTGCGGCAGGCCGTGGAGCTGCAGAGAGATCGCTGTCTCTACCACAACAGCAAACTGGACAGCGGACTGGACGACGTGTCTCTGCTCATAGACCACGTGTGCAGCAGGTACCGCTTGTCAGATTGATATCGTCAGTATTTATGCAAATGATATGAACAAGGTCAGACATCAGCTCTGTTCCAAACTCTAGTGAGCTGCTTCGCTGTCTACTAGCATCGTTTTAATATTTGGTAGCACTTTAGATTAGGGACACATATTCACTTAATTAATGACAGAATTTTCATTTTTGGGTGAACTAACCCTTTAAGAGTTTTCCCTCAATAAACTACTAATTTGCTGCTTTTTGATAGTAAGTAAGGTAGTTGTTGTAGTAGTTGAGTTTAGGTATGGGATCTAAAATATGGTCATGCAGAATAAGGCTTTAATATGTGCTTTATAAAAACAGTAAACCGCCATTATGCTAGTAATATGCATGCTATTAAGCTAAATTATAGCTATTAAGCTATATTTTAATATTTTATTTTCAACTGTAGTTAAAACTTTAGATTTTTTGTTTGCCTTTTTTTTTGTAAATATGTTTAGTTTTTAGTTATTTAGTATTTGACGTTAAACTAAACAATAATTAGTAATGGTTTGGCGACTAGCTTAAATAATTGAACACGCATGCAAATCGGCGTCTTGAAACAGCTCAGCTCACAGTAAATGCTGCTTCATCTCTGCATGCGCTGTGAGAATGGGTTGCTTAGAGCGTGCATTTGGGATCGTTTAGTAAGATTTGAGTTAATGAGAAGCTTTTATGAACCAGTTGCCAACAAAGGAGAAGCTTTATGGGCAGATAAAGCTTGATTGTTTACCTTTTGAAAACTAAGAAATCAAGATGTAAATATTGGTATTGCAATTTTACAGTTAGAATACTATAAAATAATTATTTAAATAAATAAATACTTAATTAAATCAATTTTTTCACAATAAAAATCATAATTGTTTTAGTCATATTGAATGCATTAAAAAAGTGTGGCCTCAAGTGGAGAGAGGTTTTTTTATTTATTAACTCTTTAAATACAGTTTAGAGTTACTAAAAGAGGTTTCAGGTGGTTCTTGGAAGAGTATACCCAAAGTTTTTCCCAAGTTGTTCAGCGCTAAAAGGATGATTCACTCACTCTCAAAGTTTTCAGAGTAGTCATATTCAGCTTTTTTATTATTATTTCCTATGCAGATGTGCTCCCCTACAGAATAACCTCAAATCAAATATAGAATAATTCATTCTTTCCCAATTGGAATGTAAAATTTGTGTATTTTTTCATATTGCAATGTATCTAGCAGAAAAACAAAATATTGCAATGTCAGTTTTGTCCAATATAGTGCAGCCCTAATGTGCAAATTCTCGTTCAGATTGCTGAATTATTCATATAAACATAGTTATTTTGTCTTAGTTGAACGTAAACAGAGAAGACAGAAGCTCAGATTTGTGCAGAAATACGGGATCTGTGCTATGCAAATAGGCCTGTCACTATCTGTTGTTTTGGCAATAAGAATCAAGCAAAAATCACTCACTGCTCTGAATTGGTCTTTGTTACTGTTTAATTGAATACTTGAAGTCATCTTCTTCTTTGAGAAGGCTACATGCTATTATTTTAATTAACTTAGCAACAGCGAATATGTTTGTCCTCTGATACCAAAATTAGTGTGAGATTTCACTGGTCCTGAAACGGCTCAGCTCACTTTGTGTTGGAACAGAGCAGTGGCCATATATAGGCTCTTTAATGAAGTTGGGCTCTCTAAAATGTGTTGACTGTGATCTCCAGGAAACAGTTCCCCTGCTACACCCAGCAGATCTTGACAGAGCACTGCAATGAAGTCTGGTTTTGTAAATTCTCCAACGATGGCACCAAACTGGCCTCGGGGTCCAAAGACACAACAGTCATCATATGGCAGGTTGACCCTGTGAGTGACCTTTCCCTCATGAAATAACCAGTGCTGGATAGATTACTTACAAATTGCAGTCGCTTACTGATTCCAAATTACATGACACAAATTGTAGTCGGTAACGTAATCCATTAAGTTAATATAAGCAGACTACTTTTTCACATTGATTTAAAAAGGATAATATTGTACCATATTGATATAAAATGGCACAGAGAAAGAAAATCTATTACATTTGCTGTTATTAACAACATGGACTGTTGTTAAACATGTATAATATGTCAATTAAACATTACAATATATCAAGGTTTCCCAAACTGGGGTTCGTGAAGGAACTGCAGGGGATTTTATGAATAGCTAATAATTAATTGAATTAAATCATAAAAATGTAAAACTAAAATAAATGATTTTAAAATAACAATCAAAATAAAACAATTACTAAAAAGGAGTTTTAAATATTTGTTTGCCTCCACATCATGTGACCATGCAAATGTGTTACTTAATAGAAACTTATTACCTTAAAATCTTAAAAATAATATTAGGTAAAAATTTAAAAGATAAAAAAGAAGCATTAGGGAGAATCAAAAAATTATGATAAATTTATTGCTATTGTGTGAATAATATGTAATCATATGTAATCAAAGTAACTGTAATCTGATTACAAGTAGGGTTGTGACGGTGAGGACATTTTCCCACCAGTTAATCGACGTGTGACAACAACAATAATACCGGTATCACCGCGGCGGCGTTCCCTCTTTTCCTCGCTTTCCTAAAACGGAGAGTTCCGGTCCTTGATTCTGATTGGTTGAGCCACGTTCGAAGCTGTTCTAAATTACTCTCTAAATTAATTTTTCTCTAAATTGCTCCGCGTCATGCCTAACAATGCGCCTTAGCTGTTATAAATTCACTGTAAACTAGGGATGCACGATATTATCGGACCAATATCGGAATCGGCCGATAATGGCTTTAAATGTAAATATCGGCCCGATATGAAAAATTATACCGATATGTCTTGCCAATAAGAGGAATACATTAACTCACATGTGCTCAGGGTGTGCTAGCGATTAGATCACGTCAGCATTGTGGCTCATTCTTGATATATTGTTATATTTTTAAAACAAATTATGAGCTCTAAAAGATTTTCAGAATTTTTACAACTATTTTGCTTTAGACCGTTTACAAATGTTAAATCATAAAATAAAATGTTATGGTTACCACTGCATCTTTCTGAAAAAAAAAAAATAAATGCAGTGATTATTACATAGTTTATTTATAGTTATTTTCAAATCTTCAATGTACTGTCATTATAAAATAACTTTATTATTGTTTATTTAATTCTAACAAATAAGTTCTTGTTAAAAACTAAAATTAAAAATAATTATATATCTGTATCGGCATCGGCTATCGGCCAAAATGAGTTGAAAATTATCGGATATCGGCAAAAATCCAATATCGTGCATCCCTACTGTAAACCACGGCTTCTTGGGGCTTATTGCTTTATTAATCTAATTACAAGTACTTAATTTTGGAATCTGATTACGTAATCCAGATCACATGTAATCAGTTACCACCCAGCACTGGAAATACTGGAGTATTCTGCTTCGGATGCGAGAGTCTGATGGTCTGAGGTGTTTTGACAGGACTCTCACCAGCTCAAGCAGCTGAAGACGTTGGAGGGTCATGCCTATGGGGTTTCCTATCTGGCCTGGAGCCCCGATGACACGTATCTGATAGCGTGCGGCCCGGACGACTGCTCCGAGCTCTGGCTGTGGAACGTGCAGGTGAGGGTCTCGCCCGCTCAGATTCCTTCCACCGGCTCGTCTCGGTTTAATCCGCCGCTCTGCTCCTCCAGACAGGGGAACTGAGAACCAAAATGAGCCAGTCCCATGAGGACAGCTTGACCAGCGTGGCCTGGAATCCAGACGGCAAGCGTTTCGTTACCGGAGGTCAGAGAGGCCAGTTCTACCAGTGTGTAAGTGCCGCTGTACAGTTACAGTGTTCTCGCATATAAATGGGGGAGTCTCGTTAGCAAATGTCCGGGTCATGTTTCAGCCTGACATCAAAAGAAAAAAGTAAGAAATCATTTTATTTTGTATTAGGTAGAGTAATGGCTTTTGGTAGTAACTGGATATACTTTTTTAACGCACAATTCTGCACAATTTACCTTTTTCCAAGACCAAAAAATGTCTTTCTAATTACTGACCAAACAAAAACTATAATATTTTTTATTATTAAAACCAGCTTACATTGAATTCAGTGAAACCAATGCAAACATGATTAATGCTTACACTTTTTGAAATAAATTTTAAATTTTTTTTTTCCACATTAAAGTAAAGAGAATTTGTGCTTAATTTTCATGAAAATAATAAAAAAATTAATTTAAAAAATAAATATAATTAAATATACATGAATATACACTGCCGTTCAAAAGTTTGGGATCAGTAAGGCTTGTAATGTTTTTTAAAGAAGTCTCTTCTGCTCATCAAGGCTGCATTTATTTGATCAAAAATACAGGAAAATACTGTAATCTTGCAAAATGTTATTACAATATAAAATAATGGTTTCTATTTTATTATCCTTTAAAATATAATATAGTGTGTATATTGTTAGAAAAGATTTCTATTTTAAATAAATGCTCTTCTTTTTAACTTTTTATTCATCAAAGAATCCTGAAAAAAAGCATCACAGGTTCCAAAAAAATATATTAAACATCAGAACAGTTTCCAGCACTGATAATAAATCAGAATATTAGAATGATTTCTGAAGATCATGTGACACTGAAGACTGGAGTAATGATGCTGAAAATACAGCTTTGATCACAGGAATAAATTACAGTTTAATGTATATTAAAATAGAAAAACATTATTTTACATCATAATAATATTTCACAATATTACATTTTCCCCTGTATTTTTGATCAAATAAATGCAGCCTTGATGAGCAGAAGAAACTCCTGTAAAAACATTCAAAATTGTTCTGATCCCAAACTTTTGACTGGTAGTGTATATTAATAAAAAAATACAAAAAATGCACTGCTGTTCAGACGTTTGGGGTCGTAAGATTTTTTTATGCTCACCAAGGCTACATTTAATGAATCAAAAATACAGTAAAAACAGTAATATTGTGAAATATTATTGCAATTGAAAATAACTGTTTTCTGTGTGAATGTATTTGTTCAAATGTAATTTATTGCTGTGATCAAAGCTGAATTTCCAGCATCATTACTCCAGTCTTCAGTGTCACATGATCCTTCAGAAATCATTCTAATATGCTGATTTGCTGCATCAAAAATACAGTAAAAACAGTAATATTGTGAAATATTATTGCAATTGAAAATAACTGTTTTCTGTGTGAATGTATTTGTTCAAATGTAATTTATTCCTGTGATCAAAGCTGAATTTTCAGCATCATTACTCCAGTCTTCAGTGTCACATGATCCTTCAGAAATCATTCTAATATGCTGATTTGCTGCTCAAGAAACATAATTATTATTATCAGTGTTGAAAACAGTTGAAAACTGCTTCATAATATTCTGGAAACCAAGATATATATTATTTTTCAGGATTCTTTGATGAATTGAAATCTCAAAATGCATCCATTTATTCAACGTACTCATACCAAACCTTTGAACAAACTTATATGTGTGTAGATTAATATGAGATTGACCCAGTGAGAATTCTGGTGCGTTTTAAGGCACACATTGCTAAGTGATGGTAAATGGTGACGTGTTGATGTTATCGGTCAGGATCTGGACGGAAACCTGCTGGACTCCTGGGAGGGTGTTCGTGTTCAGTGTCTGTGGTGTCTGAATGACGGCAGGACAGTGCTGGCCTCTGATACACACCAGCGCATCCGTGGATATAACTTTGAAGATCTGACCGACAGGAACATGTATGTCGACTGCGTTTATCACTCATAGATCTTGTTGCAGCTTTTGTTGGTAAGAGTCATGTGGATGTGTTGGTGTGAGCTTGGTTGTCGTCTCTCACAGAGTTCAAGAGGACCATCCGATAATGTCCTTCACCGTGTCAAAGAACGGGAGATTAGCTCTGTTAAATGTCGCAACTCAGGTGAGTATGAGAACACGGCTGGACGGACTGTTTTTAACTCAACTGTTTCATAATGTGAAGCTCTTTTCGACTGATGCCTTACTTATTATTACTTTGTTATGAGCAGTCTGAGATTATGGTGTGATTCGAAAGTTCTATAAATAAAGTGCGTTCAGGGAATCACCGTAATTATGATTCTGACTTGTAAAAAATGCTGACGTTCTCATAGAACTCTTAATTGCAATTTTTGGAATATTGATATAGTTCTGGTCCTTTGTGTGGAACAGGTCTAACAAATTTCTCATTGTTAATGCTTTAACTGCCATTACGTAAAAGGACTTTTTTGTAAACTGTTACCACATTACCTGTACTATTACATAAGGTTTTGGTGATACCGCTCATACCTAGAATGTTTGACTTATTACTCACACGATTAAAGTGATAAGTCAGAGTGTAGTTTAGTCTCAGCGCTGTGTGTTCGTGTCTGCAGGGAGTTCATCTGTGGGACCTGCAGGACCGGGTGTTAGTCAGGAAGTACCAGGGTGTGACTCAAGGCTTCTACACCATCCACTCCTGTTTTGGCGGCTACAACGAAGACTTTATCGCCAGTGGCAGTGAAGGTAAGAACGTCTCAGTATAACGGACTGAACGCATCCAGCAGAGAGCTGATGGGGTTTGTGATCTGTGTGTTCTCTCTAGACCACAAAGTTTACATCTGGCACAAGCGCAGCGAGCTGCCCATAGCCGAGCTGACGGGTCACACGCGCACGGTCAACTGCGTGAGCTGGAACCCCGCGCTGCCGGGCCTCATGGCCAGCGCCTCGGATGACGGCACCTTGAGGGTCTGGGGTCCCGCACCCTTTCTGGACTCCCAGGAGACCGAGGGGCTCACCGGTATGAACCTCCTCATCTCAGTCAAAATGCTGCACGTTTGTTGTAACATCAAATTGCTAAACTCCATCTGAAAAATATTCGGCTGGTAAACTATGAAACAAATTTAAACGGCATTTTGTTAATTATTTTCTAATTATTATGCATGCAGATTTTATGAGCTCACACGAGTAAGAGATTTATATTTGTACTACTTTTAAAAGTCACCACTGGGACATGTAAAACTTGTAAAATGTAAAACTTAAATATGCGCTTTCCCTTACACATTCAAATAAAACATAAAATAGTAAACCTAAAATCCTGATGTTAATTTAAAAATAAATAAATGGACAAGCAACATGTCCACTACCCAGTTGAGGTTATTATAGTTAACTAAAACTATAGCCATAAAAATAAATAAATACATTTACTTGAAATAAAACCAAATTTAATTTAAAAAAGTGAACTTATTTAATTTCAGCTAGTTGCCTAGTCAGCAACATTTCTCATTTTTTCCCCCTCATTTTTGTTTAGTGTAACTGAAATAAAAATAACAAAACTAAATTAAACTATATAGACTTTTTTTTTTAAAAATGCAAAAATGTTCATTATAATTAAGAATGTGGCTGGTATTAAATATTAAGAAGGATTGTCACGATACTAAAATTTTAGGAATTTACACCAGTACCAGTGAAAATATAAAGTTAAATACATTTTAGTGTGTATCTGGCTGTTTTCATTACAAACTGAAATGCGATGAAATTAAAATTAGCTTTGAGCCTAACATCTATATACTAGTGTACTCATAATTCAACGATATCAGATATATACAGTGTAAATTTACAGTTCTGATCTTCAGCTAAAAAAAAATAATTTTCCCCTGATTTTTAATAACTTTTTTTAATCAAGAAAGACAGACCAACTGAGCTACCAAGTTGTTAGTTGATGGTATGTATGCTTTTTGATGCTTATTGAAGCCATCTGTTCGCATTTTCATATATTACCTTATTTCAACCGCATTCATGCTCAACAGCGGAACACCTGATAAAATTACATTACCCATGATTCTGCAAAGAAATCTTCACTAATCTGAGAATTACGACAAGAAATTCACACTAAAAAGACTAAGGGCACTGCGATCTCTCTGCATTCTCAAACTACTTAATATTTATAATATGCATATTTTGAATGGGAATTAGCAAGTAGCAAATTATTGTTTTGTTGGGCTTTGGCAAACTAAAGACTGTGACATACACACCTGCTTAAACTTCCTGTTTTAGTAGGAAATGATACAGGAACAAAAATTACATTTGTCAAATCATGTCTTTAGAAATTTTCATAACTACTACATAAAACTAAAACCAATATGGAATTTCAATAATGAATAAAAATAAAAAAACTAGCTAATTTGCAAAGTAATTAAAAAAAAATAAAAATAGTTGTCGAATCTGGACTTTATGATTCATATATACCAGGGGTGGCGAACGTCAGTCCTGGAGAGCCGCAGCCCTGCAGAGTTTTGCTTCAACCCTAATCAAACACACCTGAACAAGCTAATCAAGGTCTGAAGGGTTACTAGAAAGCTACAGGCAGGTGAGTTTTAATTAGGGTTGGAGCAAAACCAAATTTAATTTAAAAAAGTGAACTTATTTAATTTCAGCTAGTTGCCTAGTCAGCAACATTTCTCATTTTTTCCCCCTCATTTTTGTTTAGTGTAACTGAAATAAAAATAACAAAACTAAATTAAACTATATAGACTTTTTTTTTTAAAAATGCAAAAATGTTCATTATAATTAAGAATGTGGCTGGTATTAAATATTAAGAAGGATTGTCACGATACTAAAATTTTAGGAATTTACACCAGTACCAGTGAAAATATAAAGTTAAATACATTTTAGTGTGTATCTGGCTGTTTTCATTACAAACTGAAATGCGATGAAATTAAAATTAGCTTTGAGCCTAACATCTATATACTAGTGTACTCATAATTCAACGATATCAGATATATACAGTGTAAATCTACAGTTCTGATCTTCAGCTAAAAAAAAATAATTTTCCCCTGATTTTTAATAACTTTTTTTAATCAAGAAAGACAGACCAACTGAGCTACCAAGTTGTTAGTTGATGGTATGTATGCTTTTTGATGCTTATTGAAGCCATCTGTTCGCATTTTCATATATTACCTTATTTCAACCGCATTCATGCTCAACAGCGGAACACCTGATAAAATTACATTACCCATGATTCTGCAAAGAAATCTTCACTAATCTGAGAATTACGACAAGAAATTCACACTAAAAAGACTAAGGGCACTGCGATCTCTCTGCATTCTCAAACTACTTAATATTTATAATATGCATATTTTGAATGGGAATTAGCAAGTAGCAAATTATTGTTTTGTTGGGCTTTGGCAAACTAAAGACTGTGACATACACACCTGCTTAAACTTCCTGTTTTAGTAGGAAATGATACAGGAACAAAAATTACATTTGTCAAATCATGTCTTTAGAAATTTTCATAACTACTACATAAAACTAAAACCAATATGGAATTTCAATAATGAATAAAAATAAAAAAACTAGCTAATTTGCAAAGTAATTAAAAAAAAATAAAAATAGTTGTCGAATCTGGACTTTATGATTCATATATACCAGGGGTGGCGAACGTCAGTCCTGGAGAGCCGCAGCCCTGCAGAGTTTTGCTTCAACCCTAATCAAACACACCTGAACAAGCTAATCAAGGTCTGAAGTGTTACTAGGAAGATACAGTCAGGTGAGTTTTAATTAGGGTTGGAGCTGACCTCTGCAGGGCTGCGGCTCTCCAGGACCGGAGTTCGCCACCGCTGATATATACAGTCTTAACAACTCTTAACTATAGCTTTTAAATATGCTTCTGGAATTCAAATGGATTTCAGATTCAGGAATGAAACTGTTGCTGTGGTTTTGGTCTCCATCTCTGCTTCTGTTCTCCTGTAGAGTGCAATAGCATGGACAGTTGATGTTGACTCCGGAGCAGATGTCCACTTTGGAAAATATACAGTGAGACACACTATCGACTTTGTGAATGAAGTACGAGAAATGAAGTATATCTAACGGCAGACGGATGTTTTTTCCTGGCGGTTTCACATCCCCACCCGCAGCGCAGCGGACACATGAAGCTGGCGGCTGCCCTTCATCATCTGACTTCACATCCGTGTGGCGGCACCAAACGCACACGCTACACGCCTCGCCGAGGACACGCCCCTCCTCGGCTCAAGCTCCTCCCCCTCCCCTACACTGCATTCTGAGTGGACAACTGCCTCCTGAAGCCACACCCACCCACACACACGGACAAACATCGCTCAGATCGTTATTTATTACGGCTTTAATTTATTATTGTGAATGAATCAAGGCCTCAGGCTTGCTTTGTGTTCTGTACAATATTCACTCAGCGAGGGGACAAAAAAAAGTGCAATCTCTCGCACGTGTCAGAGAGAGAACAAATCATATCTTTATTTTTCAGCATGAACTTCTTTTAGCCACCTCGTATGCTTGAAAGTAAGTGTCTTCACCAGCAGATATAAGATATTGTTTTCGTTTCCCTCACGACAATTTTAAATGACTGAATTTACAGGCATTTTTTTAACTGATTGATATTCGTTTTGATTCGAAAAGTCCAATCATGACCCCACTATTTTTCATTGCTTATGGTACTTTATTCTGAGAGCGGGAAGTGATGGATTGTTATTCTTTAGTCTTGAGATGTAAGATTTACGCAGAAAGACGCATAACAGGACAGGACAAAACAGGTTGTTTTTTGGTAACGGGGTTGAAGACAAACGAAGCTAGGCTCGCTAAGATGCTAATGACACGCCAATGAGCCGACGTCACGTTCCACATGTAAATACAGGCCTTCAGCATGCGTACTTTGCCTTCGTTAGGTGTTCGTGACGTGCTTGAGGTCATTTTTGCAGTGAATGTTCAGGCTCTCGGTGTGAGACGAGTGATTTTGTCACGGTAAGTACGTCAGAACAGACTCCCAAATGTTTCTGAGTTCAGTTTCCATGTTTGATGTCCATTTTTTTTTTCCCCTGGTCTCGTTTCCTCTCGTATTATCACATCTTGACTTTTTATGTGTTTTTTTTTAATGCTTTTCGGACATATATGATTACTCATCAGCTTTTCTTAGTTTTATTGGCTTTTATTTTGAGTTGATTTATTTGTTTTGCTTTATTGCTTTTTCCCTTGTATTATCGTGTAACGGATGTCTTGGCAAGTGGCCTCTTAAATGCTTTTTTCTATTGGTGAATTTCTTATACTTTCGCACCATATGACGCATTAGTACACGCAGGTGTACCCGTAATGATTTAGGTATTCAGAGTGTCATCAATCGCCTACTATGATTCATTCTGTAATTATGTGCTCTTCATATACATGTATATGAAGAATCTATATATATATATATATATATATATATATAT